AAGAATTTTTGTTCTTGCACTTAAATGAGATAACAATAAAAATGAATGTTATCTACATGATTTCCATCACTTTAATTTTTTTCTGTTTATCTTAGAAATAAGTTATTGACAAAATTAACATAGACAACAGATTATATCTATATATTGATCAATTGAAATACTTTATTTCAATAAATCACAATCGTTTATTTTTCTTTTATTAGAAAAATCTTCTAGACGAAAATGAGACAGTTTAATTAATCAGACATCAATTGATAAATGAGTACATCTACGAAGAGTGTTAATAACAATAGTATTTTTTTTATCCCAATTTCGGTTTAAAAAAAAAGATTCCATTAGTAACCTTGTGCTGTTATAGTAAGACTCATTTCATCATTAAGATCTTCGTTGATTTCTAATCAATACAATATCTATAAAATGAATTGTTTCAGTTTTAGTTTTGTAATCGATTTATTCATACTTAGTAGTAGTAGAACGTTAATTAATTATTTACTTTCATATCGTGCAAATATTACCTTGACAACATTGTATTTTTCGTTGAATATATGACTTTATTAGTTTTCGCCTACGATCAATTAAGAAGATGTCTATTCAAAAATAAATACAAAATGTTCTATAGTGGCCATCTGTTTTCTAATCATCATCATTTAACAAAAAATCAATCGGAGTATCAAAATCGATTGTTTAGTTTCTATTGAATTATTTCTTTGAGAAATATTCTTGCCATTGTTTAGATATTAGGTTATATTTCATATTATATATGAATACTTTCTTTCTTAAATAAGTTCATCTCAATGAAGAAACAGATAAAGAACTCAGTTGTGAAAATAGACGAGCAATTGTGATTTAATAATATGTCACTATTTTTTTCTAATAAGACAAAAGAAATGAAACATCTGTTATTTTTTCTTTTTAAACGAATAGTTAAATCATGTATTTTCGGCAACATGTTGATGAGAAGGTTTTTAGAAAAACTCTATGATTAATCTTTCATCATAAAGTTTTATCGAAAAATATACTAATATCTATTAATTATTGGATATAATCAAGATGAAAATCGAAGATATATTTCTCAACGAAAGAAGGATAAATATAGTAGAGAATGAATTCATCAAGCATAATAATTAAAACATCTAATTATCATATTGAATTCAATAACTAACATGATATTTATTTTAAAAAAATGCTGCGTTTTGTTTCTAATCTATTTTAAGATGTATTCATATCCAAAAGTTAAAAATGTAACATTATCATTATCGAATATTTCAAATGAAATATATAAATTAATATCTGAAATTCGATCTGATTGGAATTCGTCGAACACTCGTTTAGTTACATTTACAGAAGGTATAACAAATTCTATTTTAGGTCTTTTTGATAATCGAATTGTTGATGATCAATCTAATGGTTTAATTATTAAATTATTTGGTGCACATACCGAATTATTTATTGATCGTCCATCAGAAATTAATGCAATGGTTAAATTATCTGAATATGGAGTTTTAACACAACGTGTTCTCATACAATTTAATAATGGAATTATTTATGAATTTACAACAGGTGAAGCATGTTCAAGAGAAGATGTACGAAAAGATAATATTTCGAAATTAATTGCTACCAAAATTGCACAATTTCATTCCATACCAAATGATAAATATGAAAAGCCTTATATTATATCACTTATACGAAAATTTATTCAATTAATCAGTGAAAATGAACAACAAAAAAAAGGTTTTCATTTATAGATTTTAAATAAAAAAATAAATAATTGAAATTGTTTTTCTTTTTTATTTAGAAATTTCAACATTAATATCGGATGCTGATATAATTGAAGAATGTATTCTTCCTCATCTCATTCCAAATGCTGAATTAGGTAAAGATCTTGTTTATTGTCATAATGATTTACTTGTGAAAAATATAATTTATAATGAAAAAACTGAAACAATATCATTTATTGATTTTGAATATACACATTTAAATTATTATTTATTTGATATTGCAAATCATTTTGTTGAATATGCTGGTGTTGATGATGCAGATTTTAATTTATATCCAACACGTGATGAACAAAAGCGATGGTTAAAAATTTATTTTCAATCACGTCAAATGAATCAACAAATAATAAATGATGATTTATGTCGTCTTATTGATAAATTTTCAGCACTGTCACATTTAATGTGGGGACTTTGGGCTTTAGTTCAATCACGTTTTTCACAAATAGATTTTGATTATGTTAATTATGCTAAAATAAGATTAGAATGTTATCAAAAATTAAGACCAATTCTTTTTGAAACAATTCAAAGTTAATTTATTTAATGCAATATATCCATTCATTTAATCATTCTTAAAAGGTTATTAGAATTTTTTTCTTTTTATATTTTACCGGTGTTTGTTTTTCAGATCTTTTTAGAATAAAGTAAACAAACTAATTAAAATTCCAAATTTTCTTGTTTTATTTGAATTTTGGATGAGGATTATCCGACGAGCAATCATTTTTTTTTTTCGTTTCGATTTTTTGTAACTTTTTTCTTTTCATGTTTCAAGACAAAAATCACAAAACTAATAAGGATCGATTCAATTTAGAATATTTAACTAATTGTTCGGGAAACAGATCGAAAAAAAGAATCTGGAACAAAAAATGAATAATAAATAAAATAACTCTGTTGTAAGACGCTTGTTGAAAAATCCTGGATTTATCATAATACTCTTATTAGTTATTTTCATAAAAGATACTTCAATATTTTAAATATGTCGGATTGTTCAATATTTTTTATTATTTATTATCAATTGAATCTGTCCGATGAACAAATCTATAAGAGTATCAAAGAGCAATAAAAATCTTATTTTATATTGATTGTTTTCAAACTTCGTCATGAAAGTCCTTTTTTTTTCATGACTTAATCTGATTTTCTTGAGGTCTATCACTTTTTTATATCTTTTATACACCTCATATAGAACGATCAATCAATATATAGAGTATACTAGATTTATTCTTGATTATTTTTCATTTTTCAAAATAAAAATACGTAAGTTGTTTCAAGGCGACTTCTTTGCTTTTCAGGAGAAAGGATCATGAAGAAATATCGAAATTTTCAGGATATATATATCTTGATGAATAGAACAATATTTGTTCTATAGTCAAAATTTGAGGATGTTATACATTTTGGAGATATTCGGGTTACAAGAACTACAACTGACCGCTTGTATCGGCTTTTGCTTTCGGTTATCATACGTGTGAGAGAACTGAAAACTATTTTTTAAAGATATTTGACATGATTTCAGAGTGCTACTCTTTTTCTTTTTTTTTTGTTTCTGTTTATATCTGTTCGTTCGAATCGAAAAACATCAATGTACTTCAAGTATCCTCAAAAAATCAAAAAAAAATTCATCTTGATCGAAAGAACTTTGCTTGAGAGCCGAGTGAAACCTTTACTTTTTTTATCCAAAAATTGTTTTTCAGAAACAGTGAGATTTGTCAAAACATGTTAAGTAGATCTAGAATGTTTCACAGCAAATATAGAAGAGAAAAAACTAAATAAGTTCTAACGTAAACATTTTGAGTAAGGAAAAGGAATTCATGAGAATCAAGTTAAAACAATTTGATTAAATCGAAAAATAAAGAAAATAAGAATTTGTGAGAGAACTTGAGAAAAATTAATGATTGAAACAATTGAATTGATCGGCGTGAACTCATTGATATTTTTGATTTTCTAAAAGTCAAATATTGATCATTTAAATAATTTTTTAAAATAAAACTTTTCATATTTAGATTGATGAATACGAATCAATTTATTTATTTATTTTCTTTGATTTTTATCATTCTATTAAATATTCTCCATAAAGTATTATTTTATATTGATATTTTAGTTTTTCTGTTTAAGAAATATTGTAGATTATTATAAAAGAAATGTCATCGTCAAATGTAAATATATATGATGATAATAAATTATTATCTGAAAAAGTTGGTTATTATATTGAAGAAATTGTTTTAAAAATGATGAATGAAAAACAAATAATAACAATTGGTTTATCTGGTGGATCTTTGGTTGATATATTAGCATCAATTGTTCCTCATCTTCAATTGCCTTGGTCTCGTATTCGATTTTTTTTTGTTGATGAAAGGTTTGTTCCATTTACATCTGATGAGTCAACTTATGGAAATTATCATTCGAAATTATTTCGGCAATTACCAATTACTGAAAAAAATATTATTAAAATTGATTCAACATTGAAATCTGTGGAAGAATGTGCACTAGATTATCAAAACAAACTACAACAATTATTTATTGAACCAGATAAGGTTAATCATTTTTTGTTGTTGTTTTTTTATCATATATTTGTTTGATGTTTAATGTTTTAGTCATTTGATATAATTCTTCTTGGTATGGGACCTGATGGTCATACAGCGAGTCTTTTTCCTAATCATTCTGTTCTGAATATAAACAAAGGATTAGTGACATATGTGAAAGATTCTCCAAAGCCTCCACCTGAACGTATTACATTAACATTAAATACAATAAATGAAGCAAAATATAAAATTGCTGTTGTCACTGGTGAAAGTAAATCAAATATTGTTAAAGAAATAATAGAAGATAAAAATCGAACATATCCAATTGGTCAAGTTGAAAATCTTATTTGGTATCTTGATAAAGCAGCGGCATCAAAATTAGAAATCATTTAAAATATGTTGTTTCTAAAAACATTTCTGTATCTCTTTTCCTTTTGCTTTTAACCAATAAAAAATTTTTCTACTTCTATAGGTTTATAGTCATGAGAAAAAAAAAGATTAAGTTTAATTAATGTTATATTGAAAAATAATCACTTATACATAACAATGATAAAGATAATTCTATTTACAATCCTTTTAAATCTTCTTTTGAATAATCCTATGACAATTTATTTTATTTTTTGTTCAATTTAATTGCGAAAACATGATTCTTTATTTAAATGAAATTCGATTTGCAAATTTTTTTTAATTGAAAATAGAATTCTGTTCATGACTATGTAAGTTTATGAATAAATTCTCTTATTGTTTTGAGTAATGCTCTACGAAAAACAGTTCCACCAGTTAATGTGTAAATATAAAATGGCATTCCATTAGTTACATAAGTAAGAAGAATAAATAAATTAAATATAAAATGATTTATTGCTATATTTAATGGAGATCTTATTTGATTTAAAGTTATATTTGAATAAAGATTTCCAATAGCTTGTGGTAATGAAAATAGAGTCAATAATAAGACTTGTATTAAAAGCATAACAAGTAAATAATGATCAGTTTTTCTTAATGGTTGAGACCGTTGGTTTCTGTTTGTGCTTTGATGTAATGTTGTTACTATAATTGGTTGAATTTGACGTAGACTAGTTTGACGTATTCTTAATACAGTCATTAATCCAAAGATAAACATTAACAATGAAGGTATTATAACACTTATAGAAGCAAATTCTAAATCAATTAATATACGACACCATTTTGTTTTACCATAACATTTAAGTGGAGAATCGATTAAATTAGCTTCATAACAATAGAATATTTGAGCATAGACAAGACTTGATAGACATATTATGATAATAATTCCTCGTTGAGCATTTTTAATTGAACTTATATGTCGAAGACGAACATCAATCGATGACGAAAGCCATCGATCAATAGTAGCCATTGCAATAAGCCATGAAGCTGCTGTTCTTGAAGAAAATAAAACAAAGATGCGAAATTTACAAAGCCATCCAACAGTATCTGTTAGATCAATTGTCCAGCCAGCTAATAAACGAACGGTAACACCAGATATAAGAGTAATAAGACTAGCAATGGATGAGGCAAGAAATAGCAAGGCACATGGATTTGAACGAAGAGTTCGTTGTGATAGAGCAAGACAATTTAAAAGATTACCTACAACGCCGAATAGAAGTATAGCAATTGATAAATAACGGTTTAGATGAGCTGAAATAACACTTAAGGTTGTGATAACCATTGTATCGGATGGCATCTTACTAAAATTAATAAATAATACAATGAAATTTTTCATCTGTATTACTGTATGAATAGTATTTTATAAAATATTTAATAAAAATAACAAATGAAGCATATCTATGAAGAGTATTCGTTCAAGTTCGATCTATTGCAAAATCAATTATGACTCATATACTTATCTTGTTAACTATTTTAGATTTATTATGAATTTAAACTTCAACAAAAATACTTTTAATATTTTATTGCAAAGCCTGTAACGAAGATTATTGTTTATGGATAATGTCGATGCTTTCCATTATAAAAATGATACTCAAAAAATTTCTATTATGATAGCATGACGTATTAGATGCGGAGTTTTTCAAATATTATTTCAGGCATCTGTTCCATTAGAGAATAATACCAAAACACATCGAAAGAGTAGAGATGAATCGATCAGTATAAATCAAAGTGAATTGCATATGATTTTATGAACTGAGATAGAGAAAATGGCTCAGATAAAAGAATGAGAAACCGACTCGATTACAAATTACTGTAAAACCTATTTACTTTGGTGAGAGACAGAGAGAGTTAAAAAGAAAAGCTACAGCTCAACATGTATCTGTTTAATAGAAAACAAACTTATTTTGTATTTTTTATCATTCCAGAAAGGAAAATATTGAAACATCTTATATCTACTACTAATAATAATCTATTCGAATGTATTCAATATTGATATTGAACAAATAAACTTTACTAATTATATCAAACATGGAAAACAATCGTTTCTAATAATCTCCAATCAATGAGTCTTATTTTATTCTCCCTTCTTTTCTTTTTATAGCATAAAAAAATTTTGATCTTAAAGTCGAGAGTATCATATTCAAGCATCTTACTATGATTGACAGAACTATTATATATGTAGTATTTGAGGTTGGCTATATAACAATGTGTATTCTTCTTTTTTTTTCTTATCTTTCTAACTGTCATCGTCTTTCTTGTTATTCATCTAGTTCAATACTCATCTGAATATATGCAGGGCAGGAGTGGAGGAGGGAAGGCGAGTGGGTTTCACTATCAAATAAAATACAACAAAGCAAATATTTTCTATATGTTCATATAAAATGAGAACACAAATTGATCTTGAAGAAATTGAATAGAATTGAATATATTCAAATAAATGATCATGCACCAAAAATGTTTCAAAGTATATTATATGTGTGCGAGATCAATCGAAAAATATTAATCAAGCTTGAAGAAAAGTCCTTCCGAAATTCTCAGAAGACATGCCGAAGAAAATGATCATTTCTCCTATCAGCTTGTTATGTCGTTTTTATATTCCAGTCTGCTATCTAAAAACGCTTAAAAGAGAAGCGAAATCTCTCTGATTTGATAAAAAAAATACAATTTTCTACACGTTATAAGAGATTATAAATTTCATTATAATGATAAAAAACAGCTCGATTTTCTCGCCAATAAAAACGTGTACTTTTCTTTCTATTCAATCGTCTTCAAAATAGAATATAAAGCAAAAATATCTTCTCAAAAACAAGTATTTGTACTATTTTCTTCTTGAAAGCTCTAACTTTAACTTGACAATAGACGTTCTTTCTTACATACAGACAATTAATATGTTCAGAAATAATGATAATCTTCTAAGTTCTAAAGAAAAAATAATTGATAAGTGGAAAGTCCTTACTTAATCATGGAATCTGTTATAGAAAATAACATGTTATCGTCGCGGAACAATAAGTAATTAGAAAAAAAAACATTGCCATAGTTTTCAAGGTTCTTTTACTTTCTAGCGTATTTATTTTGATATGTTAACAATATTGGACACAGATCTATTAATAGTTAGTGGCGACTGAGTATTGTATCATTAAACATGAACAAATATAAGAAAATCAAACTATTTTGTTGCATATCTATAAAACGAGAATAAAATCAGATAATGATCCATTTTTGACGTAAGTATCATTCGAAGATAATAAAAAATCATTGTTAGGGAACATGAGCGATCTGAAAACGAGCATATAGAATGAAGTACGCTTTTGTCTAAGAGCTTTTTAATTTTTTAATAACTCGCAAACGCAAGAAAGATATTGAGTTGTAGCNCTGAGTATTATATCATTAAACATGAACAAATATAAGAAAATCAAACTATTTTGTTGCATATCTATAAAGCGAGAATAAAATAAGATAATGATCCATTTTTGACGTAAGTATCATTCGAAGATAATAAAAAATCATTGTTAGGGAACATGAGCGATCTGAAAACGAGCATACAGAATGGAGTACACTTTTGTCTAAGAGCTTTTTAATTTTTTAATAACTCGCAAACGCAAGAAAGATATTGAGTTGTAGCGATCTAGTTTTGTAGGTTCATCTAAAAAATGTTACTTACTTTGCTTGCAATTATATGACAATTGAAAATGATACAAAATAAATGAAATTGCTTAGGATTCAGGCGAATGTGAAGATTTTTTTGACCATGTTTAATTAATGGATATATTTTAATTATTATATTTTTACATGATTACGACAGACATTAACCACGAAAAATATGATAGAATAGATGATCATTGGTTTCTCATCATTATCTCGCTATGTATGCTTCAATAGTGCATGTTTATTTTCAATGGATTATTCCAATCACATCGTAGTTTACCCTCACACTGTATGTGTGTAAATAATCAAAAGATACTTCGGGGTATCTAGTACAATTTTCAAGTGAAAATAATATTCGTCAGCTGAATTTTGAATTTTCTTGAAGAGGGCTGCAAACTTCAAAAGTGACACACGATCGTATGATAGTTGTGTTTCAGAAACTACCGAGTGAGTCATAATGATTGCATGCATGTAATATTTTGCAAATATCTCAATATAGGTAAATCGTATAATCTCGAATTCTTTTTAATGCACTGTAAGATTCTCTAGAAGAATGGTAATGATAAATCCCATTGTGTTAGTAAGATGATTTCTTTTATAAGGCTAAAAATAAAGCACTGTATGATGGTTAAATGTTTCATTATTCTAAGAGAAACAAAAATATTAATAACATCGAGTATTTTGCATAGCTGTAACTCTGTCATGATGTTGATGAACCATGCGATTATTTTCAATTGCAATTAGATAACGTTCATATATATCATGGATTGTCATCGACTGATTATTCAATTACTCAGAAGAAAATTGATGAATTTCCTAGTTAGGCCAAAATGTTTTAGATAAAACAATAAAACTCGAAAATTACACTGATTCCAATGATCAACTAGTGAATAAAAAGGAAATTGAATTCGTTATTTATCACAAAACAGTTCAAGTTCCAAAAATTCAAATAAATTATCAAGGACAACCTGTACAGCGGCAAAATTCATTCAGATATCTAGGATTTTACCGAGACTACAGACTATCGCGTCCTACTATGATTGATACTCAAATAGTCAAAGTAAGAAACTCAGATTCAATACTTAAATATATTCATCGAGCATTTCCAACCTCCTTTACCTTGAAAATGTGGTTTTTTCAAACATACACATGGTTTCATCATTATATTTTGGCAACAATATTCTGTTTATTCTCAACACCTAGTCAAAGCCGTGTTAACTCTTTCTACAGCTGTTGTCTTAGGCTTGTCTATTGTACATACAGAGCATCAACCATTGACCTTCATGGTACATTAAATTTACCAACTTTAGAAGAAAAATTTCGAAAATGTCTACAGAAAAAAATGAGAAACATTCAAGCATTTGAATAAAATATATTGGATTGTGTCTTATTACATAAAAAGCATTATGAATAACGTGTAAAAACATAATGTTGAAAAATCGTATATTCCAGGTCTTTCCGCTGATAGACCAAACAAACGAATTGTATCTCTTTCAAAAAACAATAACGCCACTTTCTTCGATAAACTATGTAACTTCATATGGATAGTATGATTCGAAGATTTCTATTGTGTTCCTCTCTTATACACTCGCTTCATAGCAAAGTATTAACATTTCGATAATCATCTTAAGATATTTCTCAGTTTTTCTTAAGTTCTCCTTCTTTTTCTGTTCACGATCACCTTGTTTTCTGTGATAATACTTATTTTCTGGCTGTCAGTACCTATGAGGTGAATCGGCCACATAATAAAACTCCAGTTTCAAAAAAATTGATGAAACACGATCCACTCGGCGATTATTTGATGGCTTTTTATACATGTCATGTAAAGAGCAATGATCTGTTTGTACAATAAATTCACGACTTAATAAATATAATTTCATATGCATCACACAATAATATATAACCAATGTGTTTCTTTTTCTATCGTTGGCCATTTTCGTTGTAATTTGGTCACATATGTGAATAAAAAGAAATATTTTTCTGTTCATCATTAATTTCTTGGTACAACACACCAACAACACAATACTCCTATGCATCAGTTAACAAAATTAAAGCTGTATCAGGATCAGAATAATTTAACCCTTTGGCTACGGGCTTAATTTTTCTGATATATTTTTACGAAGATATTTCAAATATTACGACAGATATTTATCTTCTCAAAAGTTTTTTAGCTTATGGAAATCTTTAAAAAATCACATAGAAGATGATGACGATAACAGAGAGAGTAAAAGAGACAATAGACAAGCTAGTTGCTTGCACAGACATCAATTTCTAACAATCAAGTATCATATATGATACTCCCGTATTCAAAGGATTAAAAACAGTGGTTAATGTTTAGTCGTTATTTTTAATGTTTTAAAGCTTCACGATGCGGTATATCCCATCTAAATTTATGATTATTTCGTACAGTTAAATTAGTAACAGCTAATATTGATACGACTATTTTTGCATAGCCTTTGATGAACTTGTCATAGCCAAATTTTTTCAATTCATTCTTGAAGTGATTTAATAACTTGGAGCAGTAATGATATGACCTAAAAGATCAACAGCTGTATGAACTAATTCACATTTCTGTGACTTAAGTTGAAATCTATGTTTATTAAGAACTGCTAATAATTGATTAAGATTATCAATATGTTGTTTAAACGAATTAGAATAAATTAAGATATCATCCAAACAAACCAAACAAAGGTTTTTGCATGGAATCAATAAATTTGCCATAATTCGTTGAAAAGAAGGACTATTTTTTTAAACCTTGTGCTACAATATTGAGTTCGTAGAGCCTATGAACGTTAATAAATGTGATCTTATGCTTCTCTTCTTCACGAATATGAATTTGAAAATAATCTCGACGAAGGTCTAATTTTGTATAACACTGATGACCACCAATCATTTGTATTACTTGTTCAAGATTAGGTAATGAAAGTTACCTTGAATCGTAACATTATTTAATTTACGATAATCAACAATAAACCTGTATGAACCATCACGTTTTGTAATCAACAATACTGGTGCTGAGTATTGATAATGTGGTGCTCAAATTTATTTATTTTTTGGATCATATCGAAATTTGCATTTTGTTTTTCAGTAGTTTGTGGACAACGTTTATAAGTGGTAGACGGGTTATTACCAATACAAATAACATGAGATATTGATGTTCGAACAATTGTTGTTTCTGATGTATCGAATAATGAATGATGTTTTTTTTAAGACAATCTGTAATTCATTTAATTGCATGTTATTGATCTTGTATACGTTCAAGTAAAAAATTAATATTCTGTTCACTAATTGGTTTTGAAGACTGTGCTTGATTTTCAATAATTTTTTCTTTTATTTGCAAATCAAAAATAATAGAAATATGAGTTGTCAGTGAAAGAGAGAAAGCAACACCAACAATATCATTGTCCTTTAAATAGAATAATTTAAATGTTGGCTTATAAATTGAAATTGAAGCTATATGGTTCATAACCAAGATTAATGAATGTTGGGTAATTAAACCTTTTTTTGTATTAATAAGGTGATCAGCAGGAGAGAATAACATCTGTCCCGAAGACACTCGTAAAGCAATTTATCACATCCAGAAAAACTGGTTATTTTGCAACCCAGAATATCTTTTTGTAAAGGATGTAATTCTATACAAACTGGTATTGTTCAAAAGAAATTTTCAGTTTGATTTCACTTTCTAAAAATCAAGATTATCGGAAGACCCAAATAAAGCAATAATTTTAATTAACAACTAATATGTCTTTTATTTAATGATTTCCAGGAAGTAAAGACATTATTCGATTCAGTTTGATTTTCTCTATCGAATGATATATTTTGAGTTGAGTTTTCATTTTTGTCGAATCGAAAATAATTGAAGTTATCTGTAAAACCCATATGGCTTCAGGTATTTCAAAGTTTTTGAGATCATATCAATATTGTTTTCGGTTCTAATACATATCAGCATGTACAGAATTGTTTTCCTTATCGAATGGTATATAATTCAAAATATCTTGATGTATAATAAAGGTCCCATAAAAAGAAAATTGCAGGCATCCAAATAATTTTTTGCGTATTAAATCAAGCAGTTTATAGAAAAATTTGCACAAGTTAATGAGAACCTTTTTGTGTGACGTCTTTTGTCGGATGAAGTAAAGACTCCGGTCCATCGAATGGTATATTGAGAGTCGAGAAAATGTTTTTTCTTCTTTATGAATTTGGCTTCAGAAGGCAAGTATTACAGAGTGTCTAAAACATTATTTTACATAGTGTGTATACAACAATATTCGTTGATTAAAATTCTGTGTTGACTTTTGATAGGTTTTTTTTGATAACCTCATATCTTGACTGTCACTCTCATACTTATGAGATTATGAGATGGGACTCAAGTTAGAGAAATAAATAAAGTTTGTTGCTCGTCACTCGAGATATATCGAATTTTTTCCCCTTATCACAGTATACATTAGTCTTTTGTTATCTTTTAATGAGAGTGCACATTTTCATCAACAGCAAATTATGACATTGTCCTCTTTTCTTCTTCTTTAGGCCATGCCCTTTGATTGCTTACAGCGTCTATTTCCAAAAGGAAAGTATGACAAACATCGTATGCGTATTTTTGCACTTGCCATCTCGTGGATTAGTATAATTTACAATGGTATTGAAGGTGGCGTGTCTATTGGACTTGGTGCTGATGTCGTTGCACGAGCACTTATCGTATTCGGTATTCAGTCGTTCGTGGAAGTGCTTTCAGCTGCACTGGTCGTTTACCGCTTTCGTCAAGAACTTCAGAATAATTCATCCATCAATCTGGTTCTAGAGAAACGAGCTACCCTTGGCATCGGAATTTTGTTTATTTTACTCACTCTTGGAACATGGGTCGCTTCGATTGTGGCTCTTGCAACACATGCAGAACCAGATTCTTCGAAACCTTCTCTCATTGTTGCAGCCGCTTCACTTGTATGTATGATATTTGTCTGGTTACCAAAGCCATGGATTGCTACTGAGCTCAATAGTTCTGTTATGCGTGGTGAAGCAGCCTGTTCTCTCGCATGCATTTATCTTACTATTGTCCTTTTTGTCGGAAGTTTGGTCTACAAACTATGGCATGGGGGATGGTGGATTGATAGCGCCATCGCCATCGTGCTTGGTTTCTTCTTTTTTCACGAAGGATGGGAAATGATTGCATGGGCTCGAAGCAAAGACTTCAATGGAGGCTGTTGCAAGACTTGTTCTTCTCCTGATACTCCCACCTCTTTTTCCAATCCTCAGACCATCCCATCTGGTAGTGACTGTGGAAAAACAGAGAAGTGCGACTGTTCTACTAATAAGACAGAGCACATTACAGACGATAGCTGCATTTGAGAAATGTAGCCCTATTACAGTACGTTGAACAATGCCGTCTGTCGTCTCTATCTGATCATATGTTGTGTCTATGTCAGTATTATAGTGTTTCATTTGTGAATAGTCATGCTTGAAACAGAGTAGTCGTTCGGTTGTTGTCTTTCTTGCTTTTTTTCACATTCGCAACTCAATGCTTTCAGCCATAAATATTTAAAAAATCGTTAAATGAAATACGACTCACTTCACGAATACGTATATTCGAGAGTCTGCATGATTGATATAAAAGGTTCTATAGGAATCAGATTGTTCGATTGAGCTTAGCTTGCCATCGACTGATGACGGTTGAACAAAATAACAAGTATGCAAGACTTTTGTTACAATTCGGTTATTTTCTTCAAAGATACTGTGATCATTTGGTGGAATAATTTAAACATCTCTCGGAAAATTCTGATGAACTGAAACTCATATACAGAATTTACTCTGAAATGGTTGTATTTGATGTGGGTGTAGTTACTCTAATTATTCATATTCACACCCACCCACACCCGAAACTGACCCGGGAACATTCCCAGGTGCCGGAGCGTTTTTCAGCCGGGATTTTGCGCATCTTGTAGCTCATCGCATGCTGTGTCAATGGTACAAAAAAAAGTTCGGGTTTCTGGCTTGTTTCTGAGGAGATCGAACATTGTTAGTGAATTTTCACTAAAGGGCATGACATTTGCAACAAGATCAGGTTGTCGAATTTTGATCGAAAACTTTGGCCACATAAAGATGGCATTTAGACTAGTTTGTATGAAAAGTTTCAGAACTTTTGGGCTGTGTCTCTCTGAGATATGGAACCTTCAAGGTATAGGCCGTTTTTGATAGGTAATATATACAGTAGGTAATTTTTGAAGGCTCCATATCTCAGAGAGACGCAGCCCAAAAGTTCTGAAATTTTTTATGCAAACTAGTCTAGATGCCATCTTTATGTGGCCAAAGTTTCAGATCAAAATTTTGCAACCTGATCTTGCTGCGAATGTCATGCCTTATAGTGAAAATTCACTAAAAACATTCGGTCTTCTCAGAAACAAGCCAGAAACCCGAACTTTTTTTTTTACAATAGATACAGCTCATGATGGGCTAGGCGATGTACGAAACCCCGGCTGAAAAGCGCTCCGGCACCTGGGAATGTTCTCTTGTGAGTTTAAACTTAGTCTCATAGTAGGGAAGAACTACTCGACATTGATATACAAATAATCCGAGCACACACTATCTCACCTATAACAATGTTGGAATTAAATACATAAGAACAGTGCAATGAATAGCGCCGACTTCTTCAGGGTTGAAGAAAAGAATATATTATTTCATCACTGCAAATAAAACTATCGTTTCTTATCATAACGTTTCTCATAGAATAAAAAGAACAACCAGGCAAGTGCACTTCTTTATGCAAGACAAGGTGTGTCTGAGGTGTAAATTGAGGCAGTTTGAAGGTTTTTTGTTGCGATCTGATAATAACTTTCAACGAGTTGTGGCAAAAGCTGCGCATGGGTTCTCATTCATAACTGTGTTGGTTGATGGCATTTCCGACGATCAAATCTGATTGGAGCAGCAATGGAGAATAAAAATGAAAAAAACAAAGTGCACAATCCTATAATTAGGTATCTGCGGGACCACATTTTTTGGATCCCGGTCCCAGATTTAGTCTTGATTGAAATTATTTAGTTTGATCCCGATCCCAGTACCAGTTCTGGTTAAATCTACAAATCATAATCAAAGTGAATGTCAGGATGTGTATACGAATGAGATTCTAAAGCTCAGATTGGTGCAAGATTTGCCGCATGAGTGTGAATGTGAAGATTTTCGAAGATAGAGATCGAGCCGAGATAAGACTGTTCGTGTTCGTGTTGATGAAGGTAAAAGTGGAAGTCTTTTCTTCACTAAAATCACACCAACAATCTCTATCATTCGCTACCCATACACTATCATACCATCGTAATCTTACTCGAAAACACAAAAGAAACAAAAAAAAAGTATGGAAACGAAACGATCAGAAAATATTTCAATTATTTTTTGAATACTAATTACATTTCTTGATTGGCATCGAAAGGCATTTAAAAAAATGTAGCTTGCATATGGTCACTTCTTATATTATCTAAAATTTTTGACAGTTATATACGTTATAGATTATTAGTCACTTTTACATTTACGTTTTCAAATATTTCTAACGTACTATCAGGAAGCGCGATCGGCATCTTAGGATGTTCAGACTATGGCACATTTATGCACGCAATTATATTTTCTCAGATTTTCACGCTCTTCTGGTTTGTTTATATTAAAATTCTTTTTGTCGACACCAGCTATTCACATCTTGTTAGTAATTGATATACAGATGGATAAATGTTTTTTCCCCAGAAACATACTTTCATATTTATCTCAATCTGTTTATCGGCCTACCTATGTATCTATCTACCTAATCAATGGTGTATCTACATGTCTATCTAACTAACTGGCTACTTAACTATCAGGTTACCTTTCTACCAGCTTGTCAGAATAAAAATAACATCTCATAAGAAACAGTTCTGTCACAATCAAAGTAAAAAAATGCATCATGCAGAAGATAATGAATGAAGCAAATAAATAAATTCAATATAAAATTGATGAAATAAAGCAGAACATACAAATAACAAAATGAAACAAAGAGATTATGCCAATACTTGAAAATTCCCCTAGTTGTTCTTTCTCTTCAACTAAATGTTCTTAAGAAGACAACAGATTTTCAAAAGGCTGAATAACACAGTAATTTCTAATGGATGAAAGTAGTTTGATGTTTATGTTTAATATAAGTTTTCATGTTGAATAAGACGTCGGCGATTGCTGCACCAGTACTTGTATGAAATCGTCTATGTTTCAGTACTAATCAATCAGTATGCACACTATGACAGGGAAGACAGTGAAAGAAGAAACATGAAGATGTCGATATTTTATTTATTTCTGCTTAACCAGATTGGCAAAATGAGTACACGATTGATCATAATTGTTCGCATGTAGAGATGCTAAACATATTGTCAGTGTAATTACGACGGTGCTTGTTGTTATTGAAGGAAACGACGACACACATCTACATTTATATTAGATACGTATATGTTAGTGTATATGTATATCGTTGGTTACTGTACGGGATTCCGTCGTCATATAACAATTGTACATATACAAAGGTTGCAATAGAAATATCTTTAGTTATCACAGCAGAAATCACTAAAATAAAATGTCAACAAACCAAGCAGGTTTCAGTCATGATTTAAATGATTGAAATCTCTACTGCTCGAACTAACTTAGAGTAGAAGGAGATACAACTCTACTGTGAGAACTATGTCAAAGTGTTCATGACACATTTATGTTTATCCACATAGTGTCAAATTGTGATTAACTGCGGTCAGAGTGATAAAAATGTGCGTATTTATGTTGTAGATTCCCAATTCTGCACAGCTGAACCGGATCTCAGAAAAAACCCATGACATGGTGATATTTACCATGGAAATTGTAGTTTATATACATTTACGTTTACAAGGATAATTGTGTGGCTTGCAATTAGTGATATACTGTCTTGTTTCGGCGAAGCTGATCTGTAAAGTAAGTTAACAGACAATAAATTATTTATTTAAAGATTGTAGTCAATAAACAAATATATATGGGCATGCTCCGCCATAGGATACCCCGACTTCTTTTTTACTTATATAGCCTTATTCTAATATTAAGAACAGGTAATTTTTTTACCATTTATACTATACATGTGATGCTAAAGATCTATTGTTGTTTGAGCTCTATGTCTTATTGAAAACAGGGTTTACAAATACTTTTTTTTATAGATGTTTTGTTAAAGTGCTTTGCAGTTAATCTCTTAACGTATATCATCTCTTATATAGAAAATTAAACTTAAAGTACACCAGAACAGCTTTATTATCAAATATTTGTTCAATAAACTAGCTAATTTTTCCTACTCTCTATTTACGCATAGGATGTTTAATTAAGTTTAAATTACACACAGCAGAAACAACCTGTGAGATCTTGATAATTTTATCAAAATCATCAATAGTTTCTCTGTAAATACTGCCAATAATAGCATAAGTTTTGATACGTTGATTGATGTTTTCGATAGCTGCTCTTGCACTATTGATGTCATAGTTAAAGCTCTTTTCTTCACTTGTTAACTTGCCTCTTTGAGGTTTCTTCTTTGGAGTGATGACATATTCTTCCCCAATATAAGCTTTATCAGCAATAATCTGCACAGAGTCGTTTACATGTTCTAACAGACCCGACTCTCGTAAAATCGTTATATCATGGACGCTTCCAAGATAACATTCGGAAACGTGCACTATTCAATGATTAAAATCACAAGCTGTTTGTATTTTAAATGCATAATTCGTTGCACTTTTCGAATGAAAATAAGTTTTACGTTGTTGTGAATCTTCTGGTTGAGGAACAGCAATAGAAGTTGAATCAACTATTAATTTATGATGTTCTTCGGGTCCATGTGCTGTATTTCTACTATCCAGATCTTCCCTAACCTATGCATGTCCAAGTTAACAAAGAATGACAGCTAGTACAATATTTTCGACGATCAGTAATGCTTGACCGACATTGAGAACAACCCCATTCTACTTGCGGAGATGACATAGTGCAAAGTATTTGTGTTTGTATTTGACTGAAAATGTGTTCAAGATAAGACAGAATGCACAAAAGAAAAAAAAATTCTTAGTTCGAACACGAATAATATGATCAAGATACAGGATACAATCGATTGAATAGAATGTTATTATACACAAAATCTATACTAAGGAAAAGATAAATTTCCGAGAATAAAGGAGAAAAAAAGAATATCATCTCCTCACATGTCCCCACAAAACGATAACTACTAATAACCGACAGACATTAAGAGATTAGCTGCAAAGTACTTTAACAAAACATCTATAAAAAAAGTATCTGTGAACTCTGTTTTCAATAAGACATAGAGCTCGAACAACAATAGATCTTTAGCATCACATGTATAGTATAAATGGTAAAAAAATTACCTGTTCTTAATATTTGAATAAGGCTATATAAGCAAAAAAGAAGTCGGGGTATCCTATGGCGAAGCACGCCCATATATATCTACATTATGAGACAGATGAAGGCAGAGTCACTTTTCTTTTTTTGTTCGCTTGCTTTTGTCGATAGGGTGCCGTTGTCGACTGAACAATCTTTTGCTGGTGTTGATCGAAGATGCTTCGAAAACGAGCTAATTCAACCACCGACAAAGATTGATTGGTTCGTCGAAGTGAATCCTCCTGAAGAAATGTTAGCATTTGTTGAGGATTTACCTTTGTCATATACTCATTCAAATAGATCAAACTTCGTCCATCATAATCGGAAAGAAGACGAGCCATATGTATGAGATTATGATCGAACAACCACTGTGATACCTGTGCCTGGGACCAATCCAGCATATTATCAGGAAGTGCTGATGGCAAAAATGTTGATAACTGTATCGGTGAACTGACAATTACTACATCGGATTCTTGACTAACTTCGACATTTCGATCGGTAGTATCGTAAGTAAATGGAACTTTGATTTCTTTCATTAATGCATCGAAAGCTTGTGGAAAATCATATTTTGTAAAGTCAACGTAGTATAATTGTCCGATAAGAAATAAAAGCCAGCCATCTGGTTTGTAGTGATTTTGTAAAAGAATAGGAACAATTTTGAGTCGACGCTGAAATGCATAATCTGCTTCTGTTCGACAATAACTACTGCGTCGATAGCTTTCACTCATACCAATGATGATTGTTTTTGAACGTTCGATAGCGTAAGCCATTGTATTCATGACATTGCCATGCATTTGATCAAAATCAATCCATACTCGAAATCCTTTTCGAGTAAGTTCTTCATAGATTTGTGTGCAAACTTGCTTATCGGCGTGTGAATAGCTGATCATAATATCAAATGTCATTTCGAGGTTTTTCTCTGATATCGCATATTCATCATGATTCAATTCCAAATTCCAAAAGATTCCATGAGCAATCCTGCGCATTTGCTCATCATTACAATCTTTTTCGAGCTGAACTAATCTGTGCATAAATGCTGGATCAATCCGGAGTTGCTCTCGGATTCCACTATTGAATGATAGAGCCCACAGAATTTCGAAAATGATAGGATACCGGTCACACATTTCTATTAGAACTGGTAACTTCTTTGAATCGGCTAGTTGACGCTGAACTGAATCGTTGCTTGATATACTCAAAAATCCTCAGAAATAACAGAGGTGCAATATGAAAAATAAATCCGTCAATTTTGAGCTGTTATAGAAAATCAAAAAAAGTCTCCATCTTAACGTTTGTTCCTTTGAATTCGATTTGGAAACTGGAAGGATACGTGATGTTAACCTCTCTCTCTCCTCCACAATAGAAGATGTCTCCTCTATTAATTAATCTCTCGAAATGTTGGAATTTTGAAATTAGTGTATTTACATCCAAATATCGCTAGTATTCTGCAGAGGATTTATTTTTTCTGTAATGGAGTACACATTTTACTCACAATAAGTACGATTCTGGAGAATGAATTGTAAAAATGCGTGATACTTCTTCAATAACAAAAATAAAATAATTTTTTTTCAATCGTCAATCAACAATCAAAGCTCAACTAATTGAAAGTGATACTCACAAAGAAATGGTCTCACATGCTTTATCGCTTTTTGATTGAGAATTTTTTGAAACATTAGACCGTGCTGAGTAATATCACAGATTAATAGCGTTCAGTTGTTTCAGCATTTGCTCTTGAGATATCGAATTGATCAAAAGAAAGCAATAATTACTTTTATGTTAATCTAGAAAATCGAAGTGCGACTTGAAACTTTGTGCAAATAAAGTTCTCAACAACATTAATACACTGAACATTTCACAGATATTTCTATCTTTTACTCTTATTCATTAATAGAGAAAACTTTCTGATAAAAACGAAACATTCTCAATTATTATGTTCATATTTCAGAATAGGCGATACAATGATCTATGAAAATTTCATAATGAACTAATCTTATTGAGTACTTTATTTGTGCAAAGTTTCAAATCGAAATTCGATTTTCAAGGTGGCATAAGGACGATGACGACTTTTCTATTAAGAAACTCGATGTCTTAAATACAAATGCTCAAACAATTGAATACTTTTATACTGCAAGAGTACTCAACATAGTCTATTGTTTCAAGATATTCTCAATCAAAAGGCGATCGAACGATTCTGGATGTTCTCACGTCTGAACACATGTTCTATACATCTTTAGTGCTACTATGACAATCGGTCTACATTTTTATCATGATTCTGCCAAGATTGTTTGAATACTCTCTCAAAAATATTCAAATGAAGACTCTAGCTTACTGTTCAAAAGGTTTGAAACGGGTATTTGTTTATATTTCTGCGATGGATCATTCCATGCTTGTTCAAGGATATTCATAAAGAACTGGCACATATTATTGGCAACTTTCATTTCTTTCAAGTCTTCATCAGATAGAATTCGTGAAAGTATGCCATAGGCACATAGACAAATTCGATCAAAAGGTGATGTTTCAGCCACCGAAATCAGTGTATCGAACAATGATGTATTCGAGCGGATGAAACAGCTTGAATTTTCTATATCCAACGAGGTTAATAATAATAATAAATTAGAGTCAAGAAGCATTGTGTCTTCATTGCTCCATTCAACTGTAATACGTTCATTAAATGGTGTGTGATCGATATTACGAATAAGTGCTTGAACAAATTCGTACGCTTTTTGCTCAAAAGGAAGAAGTATTTTAATATGTGACGTCATATTAGTATCCCACCAACAGCACGAAGCAACTAAGCTACTCAAATGAGCAATACATGCGAGGAGTTCAGCACTCCACGAACTGACAGTGTGACTTTGAACAACCATTAATCGAAAATAATCATCGGAGAGATGTGCAAGGATTTGTCCACCAGTGTATGGAAAATATTGAACATTAGAATACACGTATATTTTTATTGATAGTGAACATGTTTTCAGATAGAATAACTGCTTTGGGCTAAAGATAGTTTGAGATACATTCGGTTGATGAAGTTGAGTCAAATATAATCTAAACTGATCTGTCATAATAAAGTTGCATTCAATGCGCTTATTGACTTGAATGATGGCAGGCAATTCCACGAATTGAACATGATCATATATTAAATGTGAAAGGGCATCAAACCATCGACTGGCGATCGTCCATAGCGGATGATCTTCAATGGCAGTGGTCTCGATTCGATCGAATACTGCGTCAATCCAATCGACAGTATCAGGAATGAGAAGATATGCTTTTGTGCTAGCTTTGACATTCACACTTCGAAGTAGTTTTCTATTAAATGATGCCAATGTGTGGAGAAAGTCTACATAGTAATGGTTATCACCCCAATGGCGACAATCGTTGCTGAGCTCTTTCCATGCCCAATGTTCAATGACGAGTAAATGCGGCAATGATTCTAAGACAAATGACGATAACGAATCTGAAGTTTGTTTTTCGAGAAGACGTGCGATGCTATGTAGTGTCTCAGTGGAGGGTGATGAGCATGTAAGTGCTGTAACCAGCTGTTCAATATCGTTCTCCATCATTGTTTTATTTCCCAACATAGATATTACACGTAATAAATCACAAGCACGCAATTTTCTTTAGTATTCAATGGACAACACGTACGTCTTTCGTTATATGATACACACGGTATCCTTTTTTTTCTCTCGTTCTTGCTCTTATCGCATTACATTACAAGAAAACAAAAATGTAGGTAGTGCTGACGCATATCTTGCTCTCGCTTAATAACATCGTTAGTTTATTAATTAATGACACACATATCAAACGATGTAGAGTGAAGATCAAAATCCCTATCCAGAAAGAAAATAGAGAAAGGAGAAAGAACACATGAAAAGGAAAGACGAAAGGATAAAGAAAAGAAAGAGAAAAAGAGATAGTAGCAATATGTGACTGTTCGATTTCATTTTTTCACCGTAGGATACCAATATAGTGCTATACTTAGGATGTCGCCTTCGACCAAGATAGACCAGTAGCAATGGCACTCATTATATATCACATTAGTGATATTTAGATTTTCCATGAAATTCTATTTCCAACTTGATGCTTTTTCGTAGCATATTTCTCACGAGTCTGGTGAGCTCTCTGCACTCTGAAGTTCCTAAAAATCAATGAACCCAAATGAACACATCACAAGACAAATGTTGAAATGAGCAGTACATTTCGCTTTTAAACTCAAACTGATAGTTTCAGAAAACGAGTATAAAAATTAAGTCTTTGTTGGGCAATATCAGCTAATGTTGGACTAGTAAAACATTTACAAGAATTGGTTAATATAATTTTTAAAAGGATAGAAGACAAAAAACCAAAAGCCCCCAAGACAATATGTTTTTTTCATCTCTCATTCGAATTTTGAAAGTGAGATCAATGATCAATCGCAGTTGGCTGAATTAGATATATATTCTATGCATTTTGACTCAGTTAAATCGAATAAAATCATTCAACAATTTGATTGAGTTTTGATCTTTGCTCTAGATTTTTGTTGTATTTACTTGTCTTAGGACACTTCATTATTATTGTCGACATTTATGTCGAATGTGAATTTTATGTGCAGCGAAAAAACGAAACATAGAGGTCGCAATCAATCGAAAAGAACCTCGATTTGTCAACATAGATAAGTAATCAAACAAGAGGAGCATGACTCTCTGTGGGGATGCTGGTGGATATCGGAGTACTCTCTTGAATCATCTAAGATTACACCCTTTCCTTTCTGTACTTATACACTAAATAAATGTGAACGAATGACTTTGCTGTTTGTTTCGTTTGAAAGGATGCTGGCAAAGTTGACGACGCTGTAATGTTTACTCCTTGGTATGCTGTAAAACAAATCGAGCGAAATATTTTGACATAGGGTAGGCCTACGATTTATTACAGAAGCCAGTGCAAGAAAAAGGAAATACTATTTGTCATATAAGTATCTTCAATCTGGACACATTGCCGCCAAGTATCGATACGCACTAGAGTCATATAATCTAATAGTTACGCTCCATTTCAATCAGTGTATCAAATGCGATTATCAGGACTGAAAAAGGGTTCAGCGTTTCTTTAATAAAGCTCTCGAGTAAAATAAGTTTTTTCGAAAAATTTTTACTGAAATAAAAATGCACAAAAAACGAAAACAATGTAGTACATGCAAACTGAGCGAGGTAACAGAGGAAACAAATTTTTAAAAGTATCTTTGTCAAAAATGGCAAGCCATTGACTATTCAGTACAAGAGTGATTGCTTGACAAACAAAGAAATGATCATGAGTGGCATGCCAACAAACATCGATATAGCATGAACTGTTGCTCTATTGCAATTGTCTTTATCCGAACAACAATACGCTGTCCCAATAGAACCAGTACTTGTAGCCGAGTTACAACTACGATGCGAGCCCTCACGAACTACTATGTATGTCGAGGAGTGACCCAAAGCCACTTGATACTCTGTTTTCTAATTGATAAAAAGAAACCATCAGAAATGAAGAACGTAGTGTAGATATTGTCACTAACAAGGCAAGAAATAAAATCTGGTTGTGATAAACTACTCGATGTTGATATATCCCCATTCTTAGGATCAACACACACCGAATTAGTCGCACTTGAGCACACAATACAATTTAAGCCATCTGTGATGGAGATCAATGCTAGAAACATAGAGATTATCAGATGTACATATCATTCAAATTAAAGAAATACTTGCTCCAGATACCTAGAGACAACCAGATGAGCACATTCATTTTTTATGTTTGTTTTCTTCGAGAAGTATCTATATGAAGTAATAAAGTGAAATAGGAAAGGATTAACTTGCTTTGAGTTAAAATGCAATTTGATGAAGAAGTTCGAGAAATTATTATCACGGGCGCAACTGTGACTTTTTTGTGCTACTATGTAGTAGTTTTATATTCATTTTCTTTCTCTTTGAAAATAGTAATTTCAGCACATAAATAAACTGTTTGGTTATTGTTGATGACAATAATTGCGCGCAACGAGACATTATTTTGTATTTGATCAAAAAGTAAATACATGCACGACACTGACAATATACTTATTAAAATAATATTTGAATAGTAACTCGCCAAATTTAAGAGGAGATGCTTCTTTTTTTTCATCTTTCTATCAAGAAACCATGATGATAGATTAACACCAGTATTGGAAGAAATAGAACTACCATAACATGGTTTTATCCTTCTAAAAATCTCAAAAGATAGTTTGAATCTCGAGTTGTCTCATATGATTAGAAAATGCGCATAGGACTGCATCTCTACTATCCAGCAGCCGACGCCTCTGACCTTGATAGATACACACAGAAAAAAAAGTATCTTATAGAATCTAACAAAGATTTTGAGAATAGAAACGGATTGAAAGTCTTTATAAAGTTTCGCAGAATACTGTTCGCTCTTATCTTCAATATATAAGTGCTAGCTTTCAAACTGAGATTATATTTTTATTAAAACCTCAATTAGTCTCTGCATAGATGTTTAATTCAAGTTTTTCTTGGTGATTTGTATTGAAAAAATGACATTTTAGGCATTGCAATCATCAAAAAAAAAACTAAGTTTAGACTGAAATACTTATGAATAATTTTCCATAAAAGCTGTTCTTCTATAAAAAATTATTTGTAACATAACGAATTTTAATTTACTTTCTTTATGACCAATTGCATTACGTCAAATGATATTGTTTCAATACAGTTTACCAACAAGAATTCGAATTCAACATCTATCAAGAGACTAAGGAGATTTTAATGAAAATTTCTCTTGCGATTCAATATTGGACGCATCCATTATCATATTCGAGATTCAATTAGAGCACTCTGGGATTGAACGTTGACATATACATATATATATATGTTTCTATTCGTCTATGTTTATGCGCATCCCTATATTTCCTATATTATGCTCTGTCTACTTCTGTCTCTCTCGCCCATCCGTGGCAAAGTAAGACGAGCACTAGCAAAACAAAGTGACACGAAAATTAATACATGAAGAATATAATTTCGTTTATTAAATAATTGCCATATGATCAGTACAAGCGTGAACAGTCTGCAATGTCAATATTTTCAAACAATCAAAATGGCAAAAATTATAACAAAAACCATACAAATAGTTATGCATGAAATAAAAACATGAAGAACTGTTGACTGAGAAGATAATATGTTTGATATCGTCAAAATGTGTAAGATTTCCAAGACTCAGCGAATAAATTTTGATTGTGATACAGATGAGCCGTTTTTTATTGTCTTCACAAAAAGGCTACTTACAAGATATATGATAACTAAAAACGGTAATGAAATGTTCAAACACGGTTCCAAAGTGTATAATGAGTAGGCAAATAAAGTCACCAATCCAGATTGATCAACTCCTCATTGGCAGACAGCTGTCTCTATAATAGTTGAGACGCGAAAGAAAACTGTTCAAGACATAGCCTCTCGACAATGATACTTTTAGGAGGCATACTACAAAACTTCACCGGTTTCGAAAATCTGGATTTGTTTTATATGAAATCTATTAGACTACTAAACTTAAGTGAAGTTTAGTATATTTGTACAATGTTATATAAAATAAAATAAAGTTCTTTGAAATCTCATACGCGCCATAATTTTAATGCCCTTTCTAGAACAGTGGTGAAATTAATTTGCCATAGAATGTTTCGACTCTTCTAAAAATGATGGTGAAGTTCAAAATAAATGTAAGGAACTAAGACACGTTTCGGTCTTGCTTGAACATCTCATCAGATAGCTTGATAATTTTACATGATCTAATATGGGGTTTAATAGGATAAGTAAACATCTCAATATCTTCTCGATGTTTCTGCTATTCCTTATCATATTGGTATGTGCTTTTTCAAAAGATGCACCATGCGCTTTTTCACAAAGCTGTCGAATGTGTAGTAAAACGAGCTTTTGACAATAAAAAGAATGTCAAAATTATAGAGTTTCTTCGATTTTCTCACTTCATTTCACTGTAACTCATCAAACCACCAGAAGTTCGCTAATCGTTTTTTGTTCACCATACAACGCTGAAAATAGTGAACATTGTCGGAATTCAGGTGGAGAAATTCCTAACAAGTGGATATGCAGATTATAAAGATAAAAGCAAGAAAATATATCTTCAGGAAGTACTAAGAACGTGTATTACTAACAACATTCGAGCATAAAATTGAGTTTTAAAGTTTTATTGTCTTTATGTTTCTAAATTGTACCTATATATAAAAATAAGCTCGGCTTCCGTAACGACATAAACTACACACAGTAAAACATGAGCTAATAGTTAACCAGCTCAATGAGAAGTTGACGAATAGATATATATTGGATCAAATATATAATATTTGCTATGATTAGAATTTCAAATAATGTGTTAAATATGTGATAATGATATTAGTTATGAACTCAGATTTTACATGAGAACTTATGTTAAAAATAATTTTTTTGCGCATGTAGATAAAATCTGTGAATTGCCAACTCATTGTTGTCTGCCTGCTTTTCATTTACTATGCAAAATTTTGCTGTCTACTTTTATATTGCTAACAGCTGTCACCTTTCTTTTTTTTTCGTTTCTTAATCTTTTATTCTTATTGTTATCTCTATTAAGTTATGCCCTATGAGAGATAGACATGAATAAACATGTGAAGCAGTTATAGTCGATAGAAATGTGCGCAACTGACAAAATATTTTTTTAAACACTTACAACTATGTAGTATTCATTACTAATTCTGAGATTTTAGAAACTTATTAATTTACATATGTGGACATTTTACTTAAGACAAATACAGCCGAAATTATTCAGAGAGAAGACAACTTGTAAATGCTTCTTAATACGTTTAATGTCTTCTTTACCTACAATAACACCGACACCACCACTTTCTGTTCCTGTCACAAATTCCTTTTCACTAACGATTGCTGATATTAATTCTTATCGTAAAAATGGTTATCATATTATACCTAATCTTCTTTCTCCTTCTCAACTTGAACAATGGCGAACAATCGCATTTAGTGCAGTAAACGATCGAGCCGAGAGAAAGTATAAATTTCCTACAGTGCATGAAGAAGATCACACCAATATTGATTTCGATTATTATGATAATGTTTTCAAACAGCGCGTTAATCTGTAGCAAACGTATAATTCTGTCAAACAACTTTTGTTAGAGAGTGGAAAACTTATTGGAAAAATTGCTGCTGAATTAGAAGGTATTGATCTTATTAGAATTTGGCATGATCAAGCCTTAATTAAAGAATCATTTGCAAATCCTACCGCCTGGTAAAATTGATGTGCCTTTTTTGTCTTCTGTATTCATTTCTTTTCTTTTTATGAAGGCATCTTGATGTTCCATATTGGTCGTTCACTTCTTTACACGCCATAAGTGTTTGGATAGCATTAGATGATGCAACATTGGAAAATGGTTGCTTGTATTTTATGCCTGGATCACATAAAGTAAGACTATTTTAAGAATCAAAAAGAGTTTAAAGTTACATTAGTTGATTATGTGCTTTACGAAAAGTCATCAGCAGTCTGATATGTTGATACAAGAATTCAATTACACTTATTTTTATTTCTTGTTTTTCTTCGATTTTGTTCAAGCTAAGTATTTGTTAGAAATTGAATACTATTAAATTTTGAAAACTATACTATCTTTCAAGAGTTATAACTATATTTTTATGCTTAGATTTGCATTAGTTTATGACGATCTCGAAATCAAATCGATCTTTTTAGGTTACAGAACGTCGTTATTATGCAGCGAATAATGCTTTTATGGAAATAAAGGTTGGTAAAAACCTTTCTGATGTATTTATTACTTATCCTGAGCTAAAACAATGGCAAACAGTAGCTGTGCCTATGAAAGCAGGCAATGCTTCGTTTCATAGCGATCATTTAATTCATAGTGCCGGTGCTAACATGACTCCAGGAAGACGAGCTGCAATGACTATTCAAATGTAAGCAAATTTATGAAAAAACAAAGTGATATATTTATTGTATGGTAATGATATTTATTTATTTAGGATGCCGGATAATATGACTTTTAATGGCACACAAAATAGTTTAACGAAAAAACAAATGGACGAATTACAAATAGGTGTATCTGTTTTTAATGATGATAATCTTAATCCAATATTGTACAAAAAAAATTAAATGAAATCTATTGTTTGTAAATAGAATAATTAAAGGATAAGGCAAAGGCTTACAATTTTATAGTTTGTCTATGTGCGTGAAAACAGAATAATTTCCCTATTGGAAACTTCTCAGAGAAACATTTTCTTGTATGTGTTTTCACAGTTGGTTTTTGAGCATACTCACTTCCTTACACAACATAGCTTAATATTTGTGCACTTGACAAATCAAAATTCATTCGTACGTTGAATCCCAACGCAACGTTTTGTGAATATTCATTGATCAATTTCTTAAAAGTGCAATGTTCAATCGAAGTATTCTTCTATAAAACACAAGGAGAAAAACACAGAATCTCGGATCAACCTATCAATAGCTTTGACAATAAAAATCTGTTTTATGTCCGGACTTCACCTATGAATAACTATCGATGAGAAAGATTTTGAGGAAAAGTGGCACTGATTAATGATTGTGTTTGATTAAGTTGTTCGCCTAGGACAATAATACTGTGAAAATTGCTGCCATCTAATGAAATACCCATGAAAATAATGACACTCAAATTAGTTTCATTGAAAACAAAATTGTGACATTCTCCGTAAGTGAAATCAGTATCAATTGAGATTGATTTGGAAAAAACAATACGAATAATCTTAGTTGTAGCTGCATTGTAGCCACTTAAATATGCCATTATAAATTAAGATTCACTAATTATACTGTCGTTTAGTGAAAAGAAGAACGTGGCAAAGAAAACAAAGTAGGAAGAGAAGGGTACACTCCTTTGTTTCATGGCCACATCCCTGTTTTTTTATTGGAATGACAAGAAAAAAAGTCTTTTCGAGTGAATGATGAAGTCAAGGGTTTATAGCTTGTTTGATGATTCGTATTTTGATATTTTGCATTATATTTGTGTATAGATCTTTGCGATTCTGTCAAGTCCATCTCTGGCAATGTTACGTAGTATATTTCTCCAAGGAGTAGAGATCTACGAAGTCATCAAGAATCACGATGATATGTGATTGTGGCTGTGACTATATTAGGGCAAAAATCAACTTTTTCGTGTTTTTTTTTTAATTTCTACCAAAAACTCAGTTAATCATTCGTTTTGTTAGAATGACGATTAATCGATAAGATGTAGACGCTTTAGGGTGTGGGGATGATTTATCAAGACTTTTGGACGAACCAACAGTACTGACAATAGTTAGATGCAAATTTTTCACGATCAAAACCAATACAATGATGAAAAATCGTCGTGACGCAGGTGTTTATCAAGAAGTGCAACATTATTTATAGTAAAATTGATTAAATGTGCACAGAAGATTAAAAGTAATTTAAATACTTTGATATCTTCGTTCTTCTGAACAAAATTTAGTTAGGAATGAATTTAAATTAAAAATTATATAAAATAATCGCATTAGAAAATTTGTTTCGTTTGAATTCAAATAAAATCCTAACTCATTTTTGCACGTAATAAAGTTTTCTCGAATATAAACTGATCATTCCAAGTTTATAATGAGCAAAATAAATTCCTCCAAAGCTCAATAAAACCGATTATGAATTTATTTTGTTCAACCGTGTATTAATAACTTTATATTCTTTGATCAAAATTGGTTTATTCATGTCGCAGTATAAGAAAACTCTAAGTGAAATTCTATTAAATTCAATCTAAAAATGTTTCATTAATATGACCATGATCAACGATAGGATACGCCCGACTTGCTTTCTTTCTATTATTAGTAAAAAAACTTAACCCTATTCGGGCGAAATTATCATCCTCATCGTTAAAACTACTAAGTTTAAAATAGTAGCTGCTGATGTCTGTCTTATATGAAATTATTCAATTCCTAAAATCGTGTTTCCTCGTTTTTACAGGACTTAATAATTTCCAAGGGGGAACAAACTGATTACTAATACTAGTAATCAATTTGTAATCACAAGTAATCACCAGTAATCACTAGTAATCACCAGTAATCACCAGTAATCACCAGTAATCACTAGTAATCACCAGTAATCACCAGTAATCACCAGTAATCACCAGTAATCATCAGTCCCGAACCGTCGGGTCCTCAAGCCCTATTTTTGAAAAAAAAATTTTTTCAAAAATAGGACTTGATGACCCTAGGGCTCGGGTTGGGNGAGTATGAATCGATGCCGTACATAGAAATTTGTCAAGGATAGGGCTAGTACTACAATTACTATTTGTCGATGCAAGGAGTCAGAAAAAATAATAAAAAATTCAAGTTTCCTCGTGAAAACTGGAGAAAAACGCGTTTTTTAGTCATTGCAATTAAAATCGATTAACAATCGAATAATCGATTAAAATTGATTAAAAATCAAGAAATCGGGTTAAAATGTGATTAAAATCGTGCCATTTTAATCGATTATTAATCAGAAAAAAATTGATTAAAATTGATTTTTCCGGTCATTTTTTTACATGAGTAGAAGAAACCTAAAATAGTTCATATTCGTAAGTTTTTCTTGATGAGTTATGACCATTTTACTAAATTCTTTTTTACCTTTAGCATGATGTATATGAAAAAATGAAAATGCGGTATTTCTATGTGAAATTTAGTCCATAGTTGGCTCATATTGTTAATAGAAAACTCTCCAAATTTTTGTCGAAAACAATGATTTGTTCTTCAGATATTGACTATTCAAAAAAAAAACATTCATCACAATCAATTGTTAGAAAATCAAGTGCTTTTAACAATCGATATCCTAAAAAAATCCTTTCATTGAACTAAAATGTTGAGAATTTTCTGTTGACGGTAAGATCTATCTATAGCCTAAATTTTACACTAGTATATATGATATTGAAAACGGCGCTTGTATCACTTGGAGCCTTTCTCTCGTCTAGCATAAATTGATGCATGCATTTTGCAAAAATTTGCTGTAATCTTAATCACTACCGTGTTCAATATGCGAAGATATTCAACAAATGAATATTTTATTCTTAAATATGTTTAGTTTAGCGATTATATCTTATTAAAATATTTATTGATTCATCTAGAAATATATAATCATAAACAAATAGCTCAATTAGATAATAATTTATAGACTACATTCAAATGAAATTTATGTTGCCATGGGAAAAGAATAATCGAACATTTGAACAGAGATTAATATGAAAAATTCCATTCAAAGATATAATCTATATTTAAAAAAAACTTCATTTTTAACAATGTTATTAATGCTAATGTTTTTTTCAAGTGAATCGTTGATTTTGATTTACAAAACGGAAGATTTATTTTGAGTGGATTAATATGATATCAAGATGAATATGATGAAATAGTTCAACTAGGCTATAACTAACAAAATATTAATATTTGATTGGTTCTCGAGCCAAATCAAAGAAACTCATTTTAACATAATGGTTTCATTTCTTAATCAGATTTAAAAAATAAAATGCTGGCATCTGTGTGGTTTACAATAGAGTTCAAATGTGGAAACAAGTCAATAACTACGTCTTGTATCTAAGACAAGTTTGTAATGGCCATGGTTATGAGGTATTCATCTGTCAATGTGACTATCTACATATGCTTGAAAACATTACAAATATGATAGAAAAATGACTAAAACTAAAACTTTGAATACAACCTTTATTGTTATTAAATAGATGTCAATTAGAGAATGGTATGGTTTTTTATACAAGATTATTATGTAATTCAGGATTTTTATGTTGGAATATTTAAAAATTCTACAATCAGCATATTTAATTTGATATTTATTTTCAATAATAATTTATTAAAAAATGACTAAGTCAATAATAATATGAAACGATTACCTATTCTAAGAATGCTTGTAATCTGATGAAGTTGAATTATAGATAATTCAAAAATAATTTTATTGATTAACTTGTTTCTATCTGATCCTAATCAATCGAATCGAAATATTTCGAAAATAGATTATCATAAAGTCTCGACACATGTTTAAAATAAATGGTTCAATGACGAGACATTTCTCAACAATGATAAATTAATGTAATTTATTTGTTTAATCTTTAACATTAGAATTAGTTAAAGAAGAGATTATTTATTTTAAGTATCTTAAAATATTAAATCAATCTCGACAATACTGTAAGTAGAATGATTCTGCATAATATACTTTTTATGCACTCGTTGGAAAAAAATTGTCGGTTCATCAATTATTTTTATCGGATGACAAGAATAATTTTCTTTTCAATATTTTATCTATCGCATACGTATACGTTATCCACGTAGTTTGTTGGCATTCTCTTTAAAAAAACATTAACATATTATATCTGATTGCTTACGTATGAAATAAGACATTATTAATTAGCTCATTCAACGCTGATGATCAATTAGTGTACATTAATAATACCGACGATTTTTATTGATTTGATATAAGTTTCCGGTAACAGATTATGTTATTTATTAGAATCCATTGAGAGAATTTAGTTAGTTATGCTGAATACTTAGATTATTTATTCATTTGATAAATCATTGAAGAAGGTCAAATAAAATCAGGCATCAATAGAAGCACGATGGATATTAACGAGGATCAAGTATAAAGTAAACCATTCGCGTTCTCATCTATCTTTGTCTTCAATTCATATTGATTGGAACATTTCATTGAACAAATTTTTAACTTAAATTTAGCTTTCGAAAAGAACAGCGAAAGACAAATATTGTTTCGTAAGTGAATTGTTTTCTAGTCAGCGTCTTCCTATTGAGACTCAATAGAATATTTATTAGTCAATTTAAGTAAAAAAATGCAAGTTTTATTAAAATCTATTCAAAGAATAAAGAATCAAACTAGTGTTATTAACTGTTCTTTTTCAGCTTATTAATTATGAATAGAAAAACAAAGTTCTACGTCCAGTATTCATTGATGGCCAATATTCTTCAATATAAGAATCAGATAAAATATTTTGTTGTCGAAAGAATATGTCGTTTGACTAGTCATCATCAGCTACACTAATCTTCTTCATGTCTGCAAACATAATTCATTTTTCCATTGAATTTTGAACTAAATCGAAATTATCTTCATGCTGCATCGCAGACAAAAGATAACAGATCATTTCATACATGTTAGCATTCACTCTAGTTCTTACTATAACATAAGTTCAACAGTGTTAAGATCAATTCATGATAGTCAAATCAACGAATTCATACAGAACAAGAAAACTTGTGCAATGAAAGGTTGTTTTTAATTCTTTTTCTTCAACATCTGTGAGAATTATTGACTCTATGCTTCGGATATTCCTTGTTCTTGTAAATAAATATCATTAAGTACAAGATAGTTTTCAATACAATGTGAGTAGAAATATAAAAGAAAAAGTAATGCATGTTAAGTGCTTAAAGAACAGAAAGCTGGGAAAAGAATACAGGTGCCATCTTAATTCAACTTCATTATTTGTGTTTTGTCACACAAGTTAGTAATAAAAATTGATTTTCTCTCTTCTGCACTCTGGTCTTGGCATTAACTAAATAAATAATTGTGAAGATTATCCTTATAGATGAGTATAGTTTGAGTTAGACGAATAAGGAATCACCAACTATATTTCTATGATGAAATTCTTCTCGTTATCTCTAATCTATTTAAAAATATAAAAATATCTATTTGATAATTTCTTACATTCAGCTTCTCTTTAAACTGAAAATAATCGAATTGAAGAGACTAAGTAGAACATATCCTATAAAGCAATAGTTTGACTTAGTTTGTATATATTTCCATAGATATATGTTTTAGTGATTCGTTAAATCTAGATAATCTGTTGCGATTGGAGATCCACTCTACTTCGAAGAGAAGAAAAAAAAACAGGTACGTCATTTTTATAGAATAGAATCGTTCAAGTTTTGATTTAATGTGAAGTATTTTGTTGCTTTTCGATGTAAATTTTTTTTTAATTCTTGATGGAGATTTATGAGATGATTATTTGTAGAAATGTAAGTAAGATCTACTCTGTTTTCTGTCTCATTCATATTTGTTAAATTCGAGAATGAATCAATAAATAAATAATGAGTAAAAGAGAAAATTGAGCTTGATAAATAAGATTTAGAATAATGATTTTAGTTTTGCTTAAATATTCATGGACATAATAACATAATTTGAAGTGTTTATTTAAAAAATATATTTGTTTAAGAACGAACTTGTAATGATTTCATATTTAATAAAATTTGATTTTATTTGTCGTCTTTTTAGTTCTGTTATTGGATTATTATCATTATGGATATTTGTTGAATGGCGTCAACGCCAAGAAAAAAAATTCAAGTCAGATTCAATGATATCAACTACTAAATGTAGTGAACCATTACATTGGAATCCATTTGAAGAACAACGTGGTTTCGGTGATCTTATCATAAAAGTGAATCATATAGCAATAACTGTATCAGATGTTGGCCGATCAATTAGTTTTTATGTAGATATATTAGGATTTCTCAACAAACTCGTCAACCTACATTTGATTGTCATGGTGCTTGATTGACAATGGGTAATATTGAACTTCATTTAATAAAAGGTATACCTGTTATACCACCTGTTGATAATATTTAAGTTGAACATATCGCATTTGAAATATTACATGCCAACAAAGTTATTAATAAATTACACCAATTAAATATGGATGTTCGTCAAAGTTTATTAATAAGTGATGCAGAGAAATCGAAAGCTAAAATTAAATTACGTATTATTCAATATTTTTTTAATGATCTAGATGAATATTATTTAGAACTATGTAATTGTCATCTTCCTACTGAATTTTCATTAAACAAAAATAAAACTATTGACAATATTGATTATTATGAAGGAATTTCCAATAAAAGAATGCTTACTGTTGTTCAAGCTGTTTCACATTGGAAACAAAAAATCAAAAATATTCTAGTCAACAATCTGATGATTTGTTAAAAAAATACTTCGAGCAAACCAAATTGATGAAAGCAAATTCAAAAATCTTGTTAAACGACGTTCAAAATATGGTGATTTAATGCAAAGATTCACGGATCTTTTTTCAACCATCTACATTAGTCGACAATGGAAAATTAGTCCAGCCTCAACCGTTTTTTATGGATACAAAGCATATTCACTAATCTTGCCCAACCTTTTCCTATTATTTCTTTTTTTGGTCTTTGTTTTTTCTTAAATGAACTTTTGATGAATGATTGAAAAACATATACATTATATTGTCCTATATGTGTACAAAAAATGTTGTTGTGTCTATGTTGAAATATATTGCCTTTTTCTCTAAGTAATAATTTGATGTTGACAACAAAAGAATTTTAATAAGATGATCAATAAGAGTGACATGTAATACCATTTGGATGAAAGAGTTTCATTGTGAAATTGTTGCAGACACCAATTATTCAATAAAATTACATCTTTTTGATGGTTAATTTTGTTTTGTTTTTGATGATATGATTGTATATTTCACTTTTATTGTCTGTTTTATGAAAAACATTTATCATAAAAATTCATTTTTGTTTAGATTAGGAATGCCTGATTTATGCTGTCATTGATACGTATAAGATACAGACAACTATAAATACTAAACAAAACGCTTTTTTCTCATTTAAAATAACTAATTCATAGAGTTTAAATATGATATTAATATGAATAACTTAACTATATATAATAGATTGGCCTTTTCAAAAAATATTTCATTCACAAATATGGCAATAGTCATCAGTCTGTCTGCTATTGTACTTTCGAGTTAATCTAATGTTTATTTAATCAAGCGGTTCTTTTCTGACATTTGAATTTTTTATAGGCAGGGCAAACAATCAGATGGTAAAATCTGCAAGATCATATCTCTGATCTTGTAAGATCAAAAGAAATCATAGTTGCAGAATTTGTTTTACGCTAACTCGTGTTATACGATTCTTGAAAGATGTTGCTATTTTGTAAGGTATTTTTTTTAGAAGATGATAGGAAACTTTATATGACTGTAAGAACTTTCAAGAATCTCTTAGTACGATTTAGTGTAAGATTTCTGAGACTAAGATTTTTTGGTCTATGATTTCATACAATTTTTAAATAGACTCTTTTCGTTTATTTTTGCAGAAAAACTTAATATAATTGTTTTCATCAAAGTACTAAAGGAAGTTAAGGAAGTAAAAAAGAACTATGGAAAAAACTCGAGAATGATGAAACAGAATGAATAAAAACATATTCTAGAACAATTTTTGATCTTATGGCAAGACCTTATAAAAAACCTAATGCAGATCCGATCTAAGCAGATGTTAGATGAATCTATGTCAGGATTTTCGATCTAGTTGGACATGAAAAAGGAAATAAATCGAATCATGCTATGATATGTATTTAGTTATTTTTTATCAGAATTTTGCTATTCATTTAAAATGATTTTTATTACCAATGTGTGAATTTACATGCACTCTTTTTATCCTTATTTCACTAATAAGATGAGTTAAACAAGGATCTTATCTCGAAGACTGATCACTTTTTATGACTATCATTTGCGTTATCATACAAGAATATTAGAACGAAACAACTTTCAAAGAGATTTAAACACACCTATCATTATGTTGTACATACAATGATGACAAAGAGAAACAAAATAAAGATNCTTCAGCAGGCCTTGGATATTATTTTTACTACATGTGTGAAAATTTGTGTACATGCACTTCACCGAAAATGCTTAAATCATTGGTACAGATTGGCAGCAAAGAAAAAAATCCAAGAGGAGAAGAGAGGGAGAGAAGAACGAAATATAATAATTCAGTCTTATCAATATCTCTAAGCGTCAAAAAAAATCATTTTCAAAATGCATGGATAGATGAGCATACTGACCATTTAAAATTTCAGTTTCAAGTTTAATTAGTTATTTATGAAAGATACTAAGATACACAAACATCCAATCAATTAAGGGATGACATAATTAGATGATGAGCCGCACTACAAATTAAGTGAACACTTATACTCGTTGATATTTAATGATACTTTGATAGTGGCAGAAAATTCAAAAATATCTGAAAAATATTCATAAAACTAAACAATGCAGAGAGCGCAGACTTAAAAAATATTTAGTAGGTAATATCAGTGCGACGCTTGTGTGATATTAGTAGCATTGAATTTTTTACTGACGTTTGTCTAATTATGTAAATTTCGTAACTTATTTGGTGTTAGTAAATACCTATATCCATTATTACTATTCAGTTGAACATTTCTGAATTTGCAGTAGATATTCAAATTGTTCGATTACCATAAGATGCTCAAGTTTCATACAAGCAGTTTGATTTATGACTGATAGGTTTTTTAATTTAATAGAAGTCATTGGAAACGAGCTAATAATGATTACACAAATTTTATGATAAATCAGAGAGATTATAAATGTTTTTCTTTTGAATATTTTTATATCATTCGATAGAAAATAAACCGAATATATATGCATCATGATTCTTTTTCTAAGTATAAAGTAACAAAAAAAACTAACATATAGTTATTTTTGTGCTTCAATGTTCGAAATAATCTCAGACAAGCATATATCATCTGATCTTTTTATGAGTCTAAAAATTTCTTCTTGTTTTTCCAACCAAAATTGTGTATTTTTCTCGATGGCTCGTAGCCAACCACCTAATTGACGAGTTCTGCTGAACGACTTTGTTAAAGCCATAACTAACTCATTTATACCTTGCTGTGGTTGCCGTCGATTTGTATCTTCATCAACATATTCTCGACTATTAACCATAGTACATAGTCCAACTTGTCCATAATAATATACTCCGTGTTCTTCTCGTATTTGTTGACTGTGATCAACATATCTACTTAAAAGTGTTTTAAATTCGTTGAGAATTGCATGTCGATTAACATTAGCAAACATGTTTGTCACTACAAGTACACAGAAAATATGTCGTTGATAAATGCATTCATCGAGTAGCATTTCAAGTTGTTTCAGTTTAGTAAATGAACCGGGTGAAGCGCAATAGAACATACATAATGGTTTTTGACATCGTGTAGATGCTTTGAGATATGAGTCGATATCTATATTAGACCAATGCTGGATACCAGGCGTATCCCAGAAGTAAATGTTATCTAATTGATAATAGCTTGTTTTTTGCGTACATCGATCGAGACCCATTGTTTTTACTTTAGCTACGGGACAACCACAAAGAGCATTAATTAACATCGATTTTCCTACTTTCGGACCACCACAAAGTAGAATATGAACTTCGTTATTTATATTATCATCATTTGATAGTACTTCTGTAGTAGTTGCTATTGGCTCTTTATTAGTAGAAAATGATGTTTTATCTGTAAATGAAAACAAAACAAATATTTAAATGAATATAGTATAGTTCTTCCAAAATAAATATATTCAGAAGTGGTGCTGCTAAAAAAAGAACGCTTCTATCACTATTTATTGGACTAGGTTAGTTACATCAAACGCTCGGTAATTTGATAAATCTCATAGAAAAAAAATCAAGTGTGAATATAGATATATGACAAATCTGCCAGTGTATAGAGAATGATTTTGAGGATGTGAGACTGAGTTTTACTATCATCCAACGATTAGTTTTTCAAAACACCGACAATTATATCATATAACGCTAAAACTGAAGAAGTTTTAGAATATCTCAATGTGAATCAATTAAAAAATTCTAAGAAGTTTACTAGTCGTAAATCAACTTTTGTTTTTCGTTTCATACCAGTATTGGTTGATTCTTGTGTTGATGTCGTTTGTTGTGCCTTCGTTGGTATTCGCTTGACTGGGTCTTGCCAAAATTGCACACGATTTTCTACGATACGTTTCATAAGCACTCGAGTTTTGGTGAAAATGTCAAGAGAAACACTTCGATCTAATTGATGTAAGCCTGCTTCTTCCACTGTTTTATTGCTGTCTAAGATATCGCTCTTATTAATTGCCAGATAATAATCATTCGGATTGGTGTTCGACAGCACACTACTTTGAGCACAAACGTATTTAATTAGATCATGAATGGTTGTTTGCGAATGATAAGAAATGTCAAAAGATTCACAAGTTGCCTTCAAAGAAATATGTAACGACTTTGTCATTGGATAAAATCTTGAAAACACGAAATAGTCAGATATTAATGCTTTCCAATGTAGTAATTGGTTTTTTCCAATCTCTATGCAAAGAGAAAGAAAGCGGTAGAATGAAGAAAAAAAAGTAATAGATTTGTTTTGTTTCCATTTGATTTTCATTATAAATATGATTCATCCATTCTATTCAATAAGACAGAATCGATAAAAAAAAACAAGGTTTTCATGTGTTAGAATGTGCGCTTTTTACCTTTTCAAAAAAGAAATCTTTTTTTGAAAATAAAGAAAGTCTGAAAGTGACGAAGGTGACAAACTTGTTTTTTTACAAAAGTAAATATCGTTTTTTCAGCGTAGATAGCGCATATTTTTACGGTTTAAAATACATTAAAATGAGCTCTTGGCTGACTACATATTATTTTTGTTTCGATTATTGGAACTACCGACTGAAAAATGATTCTTATTCATTTGTCATAGTGTGTGTATAGCATAAATCGTTATTTTACCTGTGAATAAAAAAGAAAACTCACCTATTCAAAAGAAAATCAAAATGGTTTTATGCTCTGTATGTCAGCGACAAGTTTATTCTGCTGAAGAACTTCAATATCAAGGCAAAGTGAGTAATTCAGTTTGACAGTAGTCAAACTTGAAGAAAAATTTATTATGAATATTTGGATATTCAATAAAGCAATATTTTCAATTAAAGGGATTCTTTTTCCACTTTTTTGGGATTTCTCGAGGGTGGCTCAACGAAAGATTATGAAACTTTCAAGTCACATAAAGCTTTCTAAGTAGAACAAAAGTTGTAATAGACTCAAAATTCGAAAATGCTTCCTTCAGGAAAATATGACTGTCACAAAAAGCAAAAAATTGCCGTAAGTACCCTCTCGTAAAGCTCTATACTTCATTTTTTCGAGCTGCAACTTTTTTATAACAATGAGAATCAAATCAGGATACGTACTTCTTTTTCTTTCAAAGATATCGTTCCTAGAGCTCATCAGAAACTAAATACTGGAAGTACCGTCAAAAAACGTACTTTTAACATTTTGAGTCCGATCGGACATATTGTGTTAGAGAGGAGCGAAGAAAGGGAAAGAACTTCGTTGTTTTTTGTTCAAAATTTCTTTCGAGAAAAATGCAAAATCAATTTTCCTGCATGTGCCAGAATTTTTCTTGTCTTCAACTAAAGTGATAAAAAACTAGTCGTGTTCAGCGGTGTTCGAGATCTATGACTCAAGATCTAAATCCCTTTCAAATAAGAAATAATAATTGTTATTACAAGAATTTTGCATACAAAGAATAACTGCAGCACGAGTTTTTCTGATAGGAATTTCGAGAATTTAATAAAAGTAATAAATAATAACGAAGAGCTCTCATTCGCATGCCATTTGATAGAGAACACTGCAAAACTATATTAACGATAAAAAATGAAAAATCGAAAAAATTTTGATTTTAATATCCGAAAAGTTAGAGGAAGAGGCCTCCCCTTTAGAGAACACACACAAGTTTTATTTATAAAAGCAAATTAAAAAAGATCTAATCATTAATTATTTATATAATATTAAAAAAGCGATATTTTCTGTATTTTTGACTTAAAATCGTCAATGAGAGAAACAATAATTTAAAGCGAATACCTTAGAAAATATTTCAACGAAGTGTTTTGTTCTTTTTATTAATAAAGTAAAATAATATATATCATAGGTATATCACCAACTTTGCTTTAAATGTACACAATGCGAAAAAAGGTTAAATCTGAGCAATGTTCGTAGTTTTGATAAATTGCCTTATTGTCAACAGTAAGTAATAACTATTATGCTTTATTCTCATCACTTTTTTTATTACTTCGACATGACTATATATTCCCTTTTTTTCAGTCATTCGCCTAATGTTAAGAAAAAGTTAACGGCTACTTCAGAAAATGATCCCAACAATATAAGACATATCGTAAGTTAAAATCATAATGATTAAATACTTTATTCTTATGTTTCTATCTGAAGATCGTCAAAATAATTGATTTATCTCTATGAATAAGATTTATCATACTTGAAACTAGACCATTCATTTAAACCTAACGGCAATAAAGCAATTATTGTCGTTTGACATAGTCATGTTTACTGTAGATAGAATTTTATAAGCTCAAGTTGTAAACACAAATATAATTCCAGTTGATTGGATAACACCTCAGTTAGAAATCAAACACTGTTCGATGATTCAGATAATTATTGCTTAATTACTGCAAAATGTTTATGAGTGCGTTAATATACGAGTCTCTTATTTTTTGACATTATTAAATTAGAGAAACATCTGTCTATTAAGAAAAGTACGACTGTCACAATGAAAATTCAGTCAGAGAAACAACTAAAAGAAATCTCGTAAACTAATGCTGGAATTATAACGAAAATAAAATCATAAAAAAACGAACATTTTTACAAGTTAGGTTTCACATTGAGTGTATTCATAGAGAGAACGATTATATTCTAGAGGTTTGGATTGCTTGAAGTATAGTTTACATGAATGTTTATAAGAATTAATTGAAATTATTGTTCAAACAATCTAGATCTATGGAATATCCTTGTTCTCCCTCTAGAGATACGTTCAATTCAAAAACTGAATATTTAACAACATGTTAGGACATACGATAAAAATTCTTCCATCTTTAAGCAATTGATTTAAGTATTGCGCGTTCTTTAATATTAACTTGTATATAAAGATTATTTCATAGATTTCGGAATATTTTGAATTTTTAATATTTTTCGAATACATAAAGTTGGACAGACATTGAAAAAAATATTTTGAACATGTGAACTGTCATTCAAAATAGATTGTACTCAATTGACATCATTATTAAGAAAGTATGTTATTAGAAAAATTCTAAAATATATCAAGTTTACTTCCTATTCGGTTTTTTGGTTATGTTCAGAAAAAATATCAGTCGTACATTCTCTCTGAGTCATTTTGATGATCGTGTTCTTATCGAATCTAGTGCTAAAATATGTTTAGATGTTGTATTATTTTTCATGATTAAGATAAAAATATAATACAGAAAAAGAGTGAAAAACAAATTTGATAAAATTATTTTATCATTTTTGCTAATAAAATATTCTCTTACTAAGGATGTCAGATGAATAAAATAAATTTTCAATGATAACTTAGTATTTATTCGAAAAATACAAACAAAAATCAAAATAACCCCGAAACTTATGAAATACCACATGTACAGAAACTTATTAATGATATCTAAGGATAACTTTTCGTTTCTTTCTAATCTCTGTTGACATAAGCAGAAAATCAAAAAAATGACAATTCTATTCTACTCGAAACAATAACTAGAAGGACTAATAAATTGTAAAACGCATGTCAAACTATACATAAATAAAAATGAAAAAGGCTACAAGGAAAGAATCGGTTACTCCTATATGTAAAAGAAACAAATGGCACTATCACACAAATAATAGATTATTCAATGAACGGTACACTCAAACGAATAAGAAAGTTAGAATAAATTATACATAAATGTAATAAATAGAACTTAAGCGAAAAAAGAACAAAACAGTATACAAGCCAACGGATTTATATATATATAAGGTTGAGTCATCAACATAACCTTTTACAAACTTGAAGTATTTTTTAGGAATGACTATGTGACAATTTGAGAATTATTCAGAAGTCGAATGCTCAATATACAGAATTATTCTAAAGAAATGACGGTTCATAATACCTCAAAGCACCCTGTCAAGTGATAATGGACAAAAACAACTCATAAAAACGCTTTTGTCTTTTATTTCGATGTCTCCATCGTAAAATTTATATTTGCATTTACTTCTTTGATAAGCGAATTTTATCTTGAGTATATTCTAAAACTGTCTGACGTCTCATTGAAAAAAAGCTAACAAATCATGTCCTTTTGGTTGGAAATATCGATTAATGGAATATATGTAAAATACATTGCACAATCGAAGAGAACAAAAAGTGAAATGACATATTTTCATATTTTACGCATAAACTATTTCTATTAAAATTAATAGAGAAGGTAAACAGATCGTTATATTTCAATCGATTCTAATCATTCAACATGCTTTATTTGCGTGCACGTTCAATAAAAAAAAATACGCTGTTAATTTTACCTTGTATCACAGTTACATTAATTTTTTTCTTCTTCTAACAATGTTTAACTTTAGTATATTCAATCCTACGTTATTATTTGTTGCTCTTTTTTGCTTATATTATCTTCATAACCTTCAGTGCCTATTTATATTGGGATGACAATACAAGAATTTTAATAGATCTAAGAAAAGTCGATCTTTAAATAAATCAGAAACAAATTCTTAATGTGATAAGAGTATTAGTGATGTAACAAAACATTTCTTGACATTGAACTGTTGACGAGTATCTTGATAATATAAAGATAATTATAAATAATTATCTAGAAATTCTTGAAAGTTTCTATGATCGCACAACTATTAGAAACATGAAAGAAATGAGTATAATGATAGTTCTGTTACATCGCACGTAGATCACAATCAAATTTAAACTTTGACAAAAATAATAGATAAACGAGTTAAACAAATAGATATTAGAAGCGATCATAGTCTCGCACGTATCAGCGAAAAAAGTAGTTGCACATCTTTAAGAATATCAAATATTTTGATGATTGTTAAAAAAATTACCTGTCATCATAATTAACTATCAGACTGGTCCAAAAATAAAAATTTTTACATAAATTGTGCTCACATAAGTATGATCAGATCGGACTAAAGATTTGACATTTTAACGAATCACAAGAGACAAATCCGTTAAAAAACACATTGATTTACTTAAAGAATAGAAAATAACGAGTTATTGTTGAACGAAGTGGAACATGTTCAAGAAAATATGTACTTACAAATGTTTTCTTAGCTGATTCTTTCATGTTAATACGTATTTCTTCCTTGAACACGATCAAATTCGTCAAAGCCATGGAAACTAGTTAGAATACGGTATTTTAGAAAAATTTCACGCGTTTCATCGTGCTTAAGTACCTCGTACGCGGTAAAACGTGTTAAAGAATTCGTTAAAACACTGTTTTAACGAAATTTTAACGCGTTTGCTAGAGACTTTGTCTGACTGAGAAAAGGCATGCATTCATTTTCGAATGTCAGTACACGTATTGATTTATTTATTTTTTTCAGCAATCAAATAACACGATCGACGATAGACCTCGAGCATCATCTTTGTTAAATATAACCTCCGAAAACAATTGTTCTCTATCTTCACATCCGAAATTGGCCAATAGAGTGAGTGTACTTGCAAGTGGCTTTGACACATTTCAATCACAAGTTGAACTAGCTGGTCAAGTATTTACAGTTGATCCTGTTATTCGACAAAACATTTTTAATATGTTCAATGAATTCAATATTATTATATGTGGATCTGCTCGTGTCGGTAAATCGACATTAATCAACGCTATATGTGGTCGTAAACTTGCTAAAACGAGTTCTGGACTTGATTCATGTACGAAAGATATTTCACGTTATGTACTCAGTGAAAGATGCTGCATCGACAATGAATGGATAACATATATGTACAATTTTTGGGATACACCGGGTTTCGAATCCTGGAATGAGACCGATATTCGTACTAATTTTAATAAGATTATGCAGAAGCCCAAATCGGATCCACTGTGTATGATCTACTGTGCTTCACCAGGCTCTTTTGCTGATACAAAGCAAATAAAATGGTTGTTAGATGTATGCATACTCGAACATAAAGTACTCTGCGCACTTGTGGTGACCAATAAATGGGCTGGACAAAGATCACAACGCATAGCCATATTGGATAAATACAAAGAGTTACTAGCTAACTATCATCAACAAACGAGTGATGAAGACGGAATTATTTACTTCGGTAACGTAGCTTTATGTACTATGGTTAATGCGCAGCCTTATATTGATGAAGAACAAAATATTAATCATGAACAAGAAGGTATTGACGAGCTTATTGAAGGCATCATGACATGTTTGGACAGTGATGCCAAAATTTTTCATTGGTGTGTAGCTGTTATGCAAAAAAAAGGGTTACTAAATAATTTTAAAGGGAAGATTAAACAAAGATTTGCTAATGTTAAAGACTTCTTCGTTAGAAAACTCACAAAAACAAAATCATAATTAATAAATTACTTTCTACTATCTTCCTTTAGAATGCAAGATCAATATTATTATTATGTTTTATTCAAAAAAATTTACTTACAGACTCACACTTCTTTAATGTTCAATCTTTTAACCATGAGCTTCAAACAATAAATAAAGAATTATGCGATTTAATTATAGATACTTAAAGAAAGTTTCCTTTTGAATTAATTATTAATTTACAATACAGTCGAAGATTCGTTACAGGATCGTAACTATGCCTACAAAAATTCTATAAATGTAGATAAGAAGAAAAGAATAACATATTGTGTATAGTTGATCCCTTCTGTATTAACTTTATGATAATCTTACATTTTATTGAATGAATCCTCATTAGATATATCTGGAAAATTCAAGTTGAATCTGACGAAGAATACTTTAAAAAACAAAAAACATCACATGTAGTATATTGAACATTATCACGAACCGATAGATAGTAGGATTGAAAATATAGACTAGTATCTAACAAATAGATTTCATGTATTTTACTCAATGAGAAAAATTATACATGCAACGAATCAGAATTTTTCATCGTCAATGTTTCCATAGACATAAGTCGTTCTAAAAAGTCATCGTTGTCAAAGAATAGAAAAACTTTAACCACAAATGAATAATATCTTGTTATAAATGCTCTACAAAACTCTTTGAGGGAAACACATGTCATTTTATGATAGCGCCGATACGATTAGTTATATAATTAACAAACATTAGTTTGTACAACATACTATAGACTGTCAAAAGAATTTTGAAAAATTTCTTTATTTCAATAATTATCAAATGCAATTTCAATGAAATATCATTCTTATGACATCTTCAACTAATACATAAGTCCGAAATTCTTTTTTACTACGATACAGTTGAAAACGACAAAAAGAAATATCATTATGATTATACTCATGAGAAACATCCTTATTTTCTTGTTAATCTGACAAGAAAAACTGCAATAAAGAATTCTCGAAAGCAACAAAAGCAAAACGCTTTTAGTCGAAAACACATGTTTACAGAAATTTGCCACTAACATCAAGTGTCTCATTCGATTGTAAATTAATTTTTGAGAATTTTTCGATACTTAAATTATTGTATAGAACTTATTTATTTAAAACTATAAATCAAATGCATAATTGTAGCAGAATCTGATGACAAAGTGTGAGTCATCTAGGATCTGATATCATACAAGTAGTACAAGTTTTACTTGTTTTATGTCTGATATATTTTTATTCTGCAAAGACATCTATCTAGCAATTTGGAAGAACGATTTTTTTCCTGCAAACAAATCTTAGTTACCTGAAAAACTTTTAACTTATTGGACACTGCAGCTGAGCTATAATATTGCAATGTTTTCTTTTTATAAATTTTCAATTGATTGATTTAACCTATTATCTTTGAATAGCATGTTATGTATAATTGATTACTTTTCTTGAGAAATTCTACATAATTTTTGGTCTCGTGAGCATGATCGATCTACTCATTTAACTATTCGTTCTTGCACGCTAAACAATTTACAAAATGCTTTCCACAGGCTTCCGAATCCATTCTACTTTTCAATATCAGTTCCATATAGACAGAATATGTTAACATTTAATTATATTCTACTACATTTAAGTTCTCTGATATTTAAATCAAAATGTTGGGCATAATTTATTTACTGAACTTGAAAATCACAATTTGCTTATTTCATTACTTAAACGTCTCATACTACGTAGGCATGATTTGTGAACGATCTCTGCTTGATAGTAGAAGATACAAGACATTAACTAAAAGAAAATTACGACGTCCGATTGAATTCGTACTGAATCTAACATCATCAGAGACTAATATGACTGGTGATAATTTAATTGTACTTTTTCAAAATCCATTTTTGACAACTGAAAAACATTGACCTAGGGCCTGTTGGATCTCGACTATGATGATATTATTCATTAGACTATTCTCTACGTCTTACTTTTCTTCAACAAATCATTGGTATTCACCCAAGAAAAATTTTAGTAATTACCGATTTCTTTGTTATTCATTCAATGATGATTGCACACAATTAATAGTATTTTATCTTCCTTGATGAAATCTCAGTAGAACACATTTGTTGATTTGCAAAACAGCAAAAAGATATTCTTGTAATTCTTAATGAATTTCATTCTTTGACTATCGCAACTGTCCGTTGAATTCATCCTTTTAAAAGATATCTGCTAGTAACAGATAAATATTTATAGCAAAACAATACATGTATCAATGGTGGATATTAACTTTATGAAACTTCACTTCATGCGTGGATTGACTAATATTTTCTGTTTTAAATATGATAGATTTTATATGCGAAATAATTTTTGAAAACAGAGAAAAATTGATAATTATAATGTAAGTATAGGTTTTCAATGACTTCATGCATAGAATTAAACACACAAAGCTTTTTTTGTTTTTCTTTTGAAAAACTAAAATGGAATTCGGATACAAATGAGTAAATAGATTTTATTGATCAATTCCTAAAATGAGATTTCGCTGATAATCTGTCAATTGAATACTATTTTCACCTCTTGATATTTCTCCACCCATTATTTGAAGTTCATGTGGCCAATGTGACGTCGTTAATCGATAGCGAAATGCATGTAGTCGACGATCAATTAATTCATCTGGATTTTCTGCAAATGCCAATGGTGTCATACAAATATAACTAATCATTCTTAATAAACCAGGTGTTTCGCCATTGCTTAGTGATGGTGGTATGACAAATGAGGGAGTATTGCAATGAACAGTGCGTGAGTCCCACAATAGTAAATCACCTGGTTGAGCATGAATTAATAAACCATATCCTTCTTGTAATATTTCGTGATATACAGGAATTTTACAATTATTTCCTGATTTTCTCCAAATGGAAAGTAATTCATGAAATCGATTGTGTGAACCAGGTATAACCATTAATCCACCGGTTGTCTCATCTGCTGGTAATAAATTAATAATACCTTGAACACAAACTCGATTTGGTTTTGTAACTGGACTTTGATCGACATGCCAATTAGCACCCACAGTTTTCCATGGATTAGTTTTATTTTCAATGTCTCTCTCTACAATACAAATAAAAGCCAATGATAATAATATATTTATCACATCGGAATAAAAGAAAAATAGTAAATTCAAAGTTAAGTATTTTTATTCTTACGTTGAATTTGTGGATTCAAATGCCAAGGTCTGAAAAGACCAATACCATCCATTGAACATAATAAATTTCGAGTATGCCAGATTTCAGCAAAAATATTTTTGATTGCAGGTACAGAACGAATAAACCATTGAGCTTGTGAATTACCAGCTCCGAAATCTTCAATAATACCAGCTTCATGTCTACCTGGCCATGTATTCCATGTATGAATTTTTCCACGTTTTATCTGATATGGTGACTTGAGACCTTCTAAATGTTGCCAAATAAGATTTTTTGCATTGTTAATTTCAGTTTCGTCTAATACATCTGATATAATTGTGTATCCATGTTGCTCAAGATGACGTAAACCATCAGCGAGTGTTTCAGGATCTTGACATGAGAAACGTTGTGATTTTGTTCTATAATCAATTTTCACTCCTACACGATCAACTTCCATAAGTTCATCATTTGTATTTGAACGAGTTCCATTTGCCATTTTATTCGTGTTGTTCTGATAAAAATGTATCTCTCTCAAGTAGAGTAGTATGAGTATATATATATATATGAGACATGTCTGCATGAAGTAATATTTATTGCGAAATTCGATTCACTAATTATGCAAGTCAAAAAACAGAAAGAAAAAAAGTGTCGTGTGCATGTTGTTGTTTTTTTCTTGTTTTCTACGACATCAGTACTTTTCTTACTATGAGATAAACATAAAAAAACTGACTGCAATTCAAATATAAATAATACTAGGATATATGCCGTATTTGAAAATAAAGGTGATGAATATATTAGATGATTTTTTCGATATCATCCTTCAAGGGCCATGCTTTTGTCGATCAACATTCTCACCTGAATCATGACCATCTGTGCCCCTGTTTTGTCATTAATAATAGTATCATTTCCGCGTGAATCATTGATGACACAGCCACTCATTAGAATCTCAAAATAGTGTCATTTTTAATTGTTATAAATGTGTTTTGAAATATAGTATTAAGATTTAAACCAATTCGGAGAATCGAACTAACATTTGTCTTTTATGAAATAAAATAAAGATAAAAATTCGATTTAACGATGTTGCAAGGCATTCTATAGAAATATCATGAGATAGACGATGCGTATTTTAAGTTTTTCTTTCCACTTATTGTATCTTACGAGGGAAGGTCCCCAAGTGTGAGTCTCCGCTTCGAATCGGGTATTTGTTATTTTGTAGAGCTCAATGAGTACAGTACCCGCGTACAAAGGATTTCTGCCCATGGTGAACTTTTCAGGAACAACGAGGTTCCATACCTTCTGAAAAATCAGCATAAGACTCTTAACTGAAAGCTTGAATTTTAATATTGTAAGGACAAAACATAGTGTTGTTCAGGCCAATCGGTGGTTATCAATGATGCTCTTTCATATGGTCCGAATAACACCATGTTTTGT